TGTTAGTTTTGCCTTTTCCAGAAAGTCATATCGTCGGAATTTTACAGTGTAACTCTTTCCTATTGGCTTCTTTTACTCAGCAATATGCATTTAAGGTTGCACCGTAGCTTTCCAGTTTGATAGCTAATTTTTTTTATGACTGATTTTTTTTTTTTTTTTAAAGATGACCCGTAAGGGGATCTTAACCCTTGACTTGGTGTTGTCAGCACCACGCTCAGGCAGTGAGCTAACCGGCCATCCCTATATGGGATCTGAACCCCGGGCCTTGGTGTTATCAGCACCGCACTCTCCCGAGTGAGCCACGGGCCAGCCCCTTTATGACTGAATTTTAAAGAAACTGCTGAACTGTTCTCCAGAGAGGTGGTATCATTTTACCACCAACAGTGTATGAGAGTTCCAGTCCTTCCACATCCTTGACAATACTTGATATGGTCAATCTTTTAAATTTTAGCCATTCTAGTAGGTGGTTCTACTAGTAGTGGTCCTTCTGGTGGTTTTAATTTGCATTTCCCCAATGAGTAATGTGTTGAGCGTTTTTCACATGCTTATTTGCCATCTGTGTATCTTCTTGGATGAAGTGTCCAAATATTTTGCCCATTTTTTGGATTTTTTTAAAGTTGTATAAGTTCTTTACATGAGTTCTAAGTACAAGTCCTACGTCAGATATAATTTTTGCAACTATTTCCTCCCGATCTATGGTTTGTCTTTTTGTTTCCATTAAAGAAAATCAAAGTTACTTTACCCCAAAATAAACTTTGACATATTTCAAGATTGCTATTCAGAAGGGCTGGAAACATGCGATAGCTAAAAAGCTGCCTTTTGTGGGAGAGATTTGCATCTGCAGGGAAAATCTGCACTGGTACAATCAGGCTTTCCCTGAGGCCCCCGCCTTTGTCTACCATTGATTCTTTCTGAGGGCAGCTCGCAGATCACCTGAGATATTTTCATCTTACAAGACAGACTTTGCCTGGCCTGCTTCCCTCCCTTCACCTGTTAAGCCACCTCCTCCAGAGCTCAGAGAAATTTGGTCCCAGCCCATTGTTCTTTGGGATCATTTCCCCTGAAAAGCATTTACTCCCACATACCCCATCTCCTCTCTCCCCAATAAAAAAAGGGTATTTAAGCATTAACCATCTTGCTGTCCTTTGAGTTTTTGTCACTTTGTATGATTCCCTTGCACAGATGTGCACATAATAAAAATCATTATGCTTTTTTCCCCCTGTTAATGTATTACCAGTTTATTTTTTTTGGCAGCTGGTTGATTCCGGGATCTGAACCTTTGACCTTGATGTTATAACAACGCTCTCTAACCAGCCAGCTAATCAGCCAGCCCATATTATTGGTTTGTTTTATTGGCTCAAATGACCAAAACTTCAGGGGAATATTTTATTTTTTTGATGGCCCGTGTCCTCTCTTCTTTTTTTGGTGGCTGGCCTGTATGGGAACACGAACTCTTGCCCATGATGTTTTAAAACCACACTCTAACCAACAGAGCTAACCGGCCAGCCCCAGCATCATAATAGTGTGTTTTGAAGAACGAAAGTTTTACTTTGATGAACTTCAATTTATTAATTTTTTTTATCATGTATCTTGTTTTGTCATATTTAAGAAATCTTTGCCAAACACAAAATTGTTAAGATTTTATCCTGTTTTCTTTGAGATGTTTTATAATTTGGGGGTTTATATTTAGGTGTGTGTAGTGCAGTGTTATAACACCAAGGTCAAGGGTTCAGATCCCTGCACTGGCCAGCCACCAAAAAATATATATATATTTATGTGTGTAATACAGCTTGAGTTAAATTTTGATACGGTACCCTAAACAGTTATCAAACACATCTACTTCTCGCTACCTGCCATCTCCCCCATTTGAGTCCCCTGCCCTGTCCCTGGACACCTGTAGCGGTCTTCTGTTGGGATTCACTGCTTTCTTTCTTGCCCCTGCCCCCCACCACTCCCATGCAGCCTCCTCTTTCCTTTGTACAAATCTGATCAGCTTTCTTCTCCCTCAAGTAGGATAAAAATCGAAGCTCTCCTGGCCCACCCAGCCCTCCACTCTCCCCGCCCCTTCTTTGCTCTGCTTAAGCAACACCAGGCATACTTTAGTTTCTCCACCATGCCAAGACTACTTGCAGGCAGTCCCTCTGCCGGGCATCTCCCCACCGCTGCCACCACTCCCCTGGTCTGATTAAGACCCACTGTAACACCTGGAGTAGATCAGGCTTCCGCGAGGCACTTCTGTAGCACTGGCTCCTCTTCGTCCCAATTTATTATGCATGCAATAACTGGTTTGATGTCTGCCTCCTTCAGGGGGTGCCAAGGCCATGGGTCTTCACCATTTTATGCCCAGGTGGGCACAATGCCCTGCACATACAGAGGTTTCCCGTGCCCATTTGGGGAACGATCAAACGCAGTGAGGAGTGACAGAAAGTTTGTGCAAGTGTTTGTAGGGGCTGCGGCATATGTAGGTTGAGCCAGGGCTTTGATGGGAAGGGGGTCCTTGCTACCTCCCCTGGACATCCTTCCTCTCCCAGACCCCTGCTCCTTCTGATCCAGCCACAAGGGGCACCTGCGCTTCCCCTTTATTGGCAAGTGTTCTGCAGCCTCTAGACCTTTGCCCTTGCTGCTCTCTGCTAGGAACATCCTGCCCAGCGCCTCACTGTCTAGTTAACTCCTAGTGTCTAATCAGGACTCCACTTCCTTAATCCCCAAAACTGGACCAGGAGAGCCTGCTCCCCAGCAGGGGCTGGTTACCTTAGTCACAGGTCTCTGCTGTGCAAACACCGGCCAGAGGGTTTAGTCAAGATTGGAGCATAAATACTGAATGACGAAGGGCAAAGGGTCCGGGTGCTGGTCACAGCCCTGACTCACCAGGTGAGAGAGTTCAAGTCACACCCTCTCAGGCCTCACTTTTCCTCATCTGTAACCTGGGGGTGAGAGTGGAGTCAGATCGCATCAGTAGCTCTTACCTTTTTTGGACTCAGAACCTGGAATCCCAGGAAAGCTATGCACTGTTACCCTGCAAAGTCCTTGTGTACACGTCCTGTAAGGGCCACAGCGACTGCCGGGCTGGGGCCCCCGAGATCGGTGAAAAGCCCTGAGCTCCGGGAAAGCCGCAGCCCCGCACCACATCCCCCGATTTCTCGGTTGTCCAACTTCTAGCAGCGCGGGCGGCCCGCGGGCCTGCTCGCAGCCTCTGCCGCCCTCTCCTGGGTAAGGCGGCGCAGTGGGCGCTCCCAGGTGGGTGGCCCGAGGGCTTGGGGTAGAGGGCAGGGATGTCTACCTCTTGCAGTTTCCCGGTTCGAGAAACTCCAGCAGAAACGCTGGAGAAAAACGGATTCCCACAGTCGCTTCTCTCCATCTCGCTTGCTGCCCGGACCGGGAAAGCAAGGCCGGGCCGGGACTTACCCAAGGTCACGCGGCGAGCCCCAGCCCGGAGGGCGCTGCGCCCCCCCGCGCCGCGCGCGCGGCGG